CGGAAAGTTGCGCTTGAAGGGAGCGAGACAGCATGCTGGATGGGATGATGCCGTGGAAATAGCTTGAGGAAACTTCGCTGGGAGGGAGCAAGACAGCATGCTGCACGGAGACGAAAACTGTGGAAATAGCTTGCGGAGAGCTTTGCTGGGGGGAAGCGCGAGAGGATGAGACAGCATGCTGGACGGAGAGGAAACCGTGCAAATAGCTTGCGGGGAGCTTCGCTGGAAGGGAACGAGACAACTGGACGGATGGGGAACCGTGGAAATAGTTTCGGAGAGCTTCGCTGGGAGGAAGCGAGATAGCATGCTGGACGGAGAGGAAACCGTCCAAATAGCTTGCGGAGAGCTTCGCTGGGAAGGAGCGAGACAGCATGCTGGACGGAGAGGAAACCGTGAAAATAGCTTGCGGAGAGCTCCACTGGGAGGGAGCGAGACAGCATGCTGGACGGAGAGAAAACCGTGGAAATAGATTGGGCAAAGTCCGCTGGGAGGGAGCGAGACAGCATGTTGGACGGAGAAGAAACCGTGCAAATAGGTTGCGGAGAGCTTCACTGGGAGGGAGGGAGACAGCATGCTGCACGGAGGAAAGTGTGAAAATAGCTTGCGGAGAGTTTCGCTGGGAGGGAGCGAGATAACATGCTGGACGGATAGGAAACCGTGGAAATAGCTTGCTGAGCTGGGAGGGAGCGAGACAGCTTGCGGAAAGCTTCGCTGGGAGGGAGCGAGACAGCATGCTGGACGGAGAGAAAACCGTGCAAATAGTTTGCGGAAAGCTTTGCTGGGAGGGAGCGAGACAGCATCCTGGACGGAGAGGAAACCGTGGAAATAGGTTAAGGAGAGCTTCGCTGGGAGGGAGCGAGACAGCATGCTGGACGGAGAGGAAACCGTGCAAATAAGGTTGCGGAGAGCTTCGCCGGGAGGAAGCGAGATAGCATGCTGGACGGAGAGGAAACCGTGCAAATAGCTTGCGGAGAGCTTCGCTGGGCGGGAGCGAGACAGCGTGCTGGACGGAGAGGAAACCGTGCAAATAGGTTGCGGAGAGCGTCGCTGGGAGGGAGGGAGACAGCATGCTGGATGGGCAGGAAACCGTGGAAATAGCTAGCGGAGAGCTTCGCTGGAAGGGAGCGAGACAGCGTGCTGGACGGAGAGGAAACCGTGGAAATAGCTTGCGGAGAGCCTTGCTGGGAGGGAGCGAGACAGCATGCTGGACGGGACAAAACCGTGGAAATAGCTTGCGGAGAGCTTCGCTGGAGGGAGCGAGACAACATGCTGGACGGATAGGAAACCTTGAAAATAGTTTGCGGCAGAGCTGTTGGCACGGGTTTTTTCAGGACAAATGCCATCATTGCGATTGGCCTGAAAAAATTGTGGACCCAAGACTGGTCAAATGGTCCAAAGACCGGTCAAACGGTTTGCAAAGGCTGAAAAATGGGACATGCACAGAGAAGCTTTTACACAAAAAAAGCCTTTACACAGAAACTTTGACACACAGACGCGTTTACACAGACACAGAGGAGTCTTGACACAGAAGCCTTTACACACAGAAGCTTTTTTGCACAGAGTAGCTTTTACACAGAAGTCTTTACACAGAGAAGTCTTGAGACAGAGAAGCCTGTACACACAAAGGCTTTTACAGAGAGAAGCCTTTCGCACAAAGAAGTCTTGACACAGAGGAGCTTTTACGAGAGAAGTCCTTACACAAACGAGATTTACACGCAGAAGGTGTTACAGATAGACGTTCTTTCGGCGCACAGAAACTTTAACACAGAGCAGCTTGTACACACAGAAGCTTTTACACAAAAAAGCCTTTACACAGAGAAGTTTTTCACACAGGAGCTTTTGCACAAGAAAACTTTTACACAGGAAAGCTTTTACACACAGAAACTTTCACACACAGAAGCTTTGTACACAGAGAAGTCTTTGCACAGAGGAGCTTTTGCACACAGAATCTTGTACACACAGACGCTTTCACACACACACACAGGAGGTTTTACAAACAGACAACTTTACGGCGCACGGATTTTTTACACAGAGCAGCTTTTACGCAGCGAAGCTTGTACACACAGGGGGCTTTTTTACACAAAAGCTTTTACATAAGGTTTTTTAAATACACAGAAGCTTTTACACACAGAAACCTTTACACACAGAAGCTTTTACACACAGAAACTTTTACACACAGAAGGTTTTACACACAGAAGCTTTTAACACAAAAAACCTTTAAACAAAGGAGCTTTTACACACAGACGGGTTTACACAGAGAAGTCTTTACACACGGAGGCGTTTACACAGGAAAGAGTTTACACGGAAGCGTTTACACAGAGTAGTTTTTACACAGAGAAATCTTTACACAAAGAAGTCTTGACACAGAGAAGCTTGCACACACAGAGGCTTTTACACAGAGAAGCCTTTTACACAGAGCGGCTTTTTCACAGAGGAGCTTTTACACAGAGGAACTTTTACACAGAGAAGCTTGTACACTCAGAGGCTTTGACACAGAGAAGTCTTTTACACAGAGAAGCTTTTGCACACAGAAGCTTTACACAAACAAAACCTTAACACAGAGGAGCTTTTACAGACAGAAGCTGGTACGCAAAGAAACTTTCGCAAACAGAAACTTTTACACAGAGCGCGTTTTACACAGAAGATTTTACACACAAGAGCTTTTACACCAAAAACCTTTACACAGAGAAGTTCTTGCCCACAGAAGCTTTTACTTGCAGAAGCTTTTATGCAAAGAAGCTTTTGTACAGAGAAGTCTTTACCCATCTTTTATCATGTCTCATTTTTCATGATCATTTGCCATCTGTCACCTTCATATATATCTTCGTTTTCATGCTCTTTTGGTCAGCTCCCTCTGTCGTTTAATTTTCATTTCGTTCTGTCCGTCCACGCTTCGTGCTCGCTCCCTCTGCGGCGAAGCAAACTAAACGAGAACGCAGAAATAGATAGCGACTAGACAGATGGGATAGAGTTAATTACATTAACAGAAATAGCAACTAGAAGACTGTAGGCGTAGCTGACACAGCATGCTGTGGTGAATCGTGGCCCCTGATACCATCAGTGCGCACGATGTTTAAGTAAAGATCTTACGTCGATTTCGTGCAGAGCACAGCTGGCCACACCCCAAGATTTTCAAGAAAGGCGTGCTGTGTGCCGTCTTGCTTTTGGGTTCTCTGGCCCACCTTGTTTTTCATTTTTGGCCGTTTTTCCATTGCCGGAAAGCTACCAAAATGACCCAAAATTCCATTTCAATACCCTCTTGCGCTCAGACACCCAAAAATCCTCGAAAAATGTCGAAAACACCCCCGTATTCTGGTCTCGGTGCGAAACCGTTTTTGGGCCCCCCCCCCCCAGCTAAAGCTGATATAGCGACTGCTATATTAACAAATGTCATTGAGCATTTAGTGTTGCTGTTTTGCCCCCCAATAAGCACGCCTTCACCGCCAAAGCGGTGTGGGCGGATTTTATGGATTTTTAATGGATATTTATGGTTATTTTTGGATATTTTATGGATTTTTTATGGTAACTTACAGGATATAAATGGATTTATTGTTTGCCCAGAAGAACATGAATTGATAACTCTTGAATACAATTGATATGAATTGGATCACGTCTTGATGAATGGCAAAAACTCTGGAATCTCTCGTAGAAAATCACTTCCCCACATGTCTTGACATGCTTTGGTGCTTCATCAACGAGGGCTCTGCGAAATTAAAGTCCTGTAAGGGTCCACGAAACCCCGTTTTCCAAAATTACCTCATTTTCGCATTCTCATAGCTGCGTGCAGGCAAGC